TCTGGTTGCTACGGCTCTGTCATCCAGGGCAGAGAGGAAGCTTCCCTTTTTCCAGAGGAGCCATTGGTCCTGAAAGAGCTCTGGCGCAGAGAGAAAATCGATGACTAATGCTCACTTCACATGATGGAGAAAGTGGGTGGTGTGTCTACCCTCGCTCTAAACTATGCATGTTATCCAGGGGCAGGAAAGGGGAAAGCTTAAGTCTCGGGATTAAATACACTTTTTTTTGCTGGGAAAAGTGAGAGAAGACTGGGATAGGGAAGGGGCAGAGCTAGTGTTTTCGTTTTCACATTCCGTTCTCTTGAAGGGGTGTTTGACTGAAATGGAACAGCTTCTCAAACAAAGAAGGGTTAGGCTAAAAGCAGTCTGTTCCTTGGCCAAGGCCTGGAAGGCTTCTCTGCCAACTGCATGCCCATGTTCTCTTCCCAGAGGAAACCACTGCTAACAGGTCTTGTCTATTGTCCTATCAAATATTTTCCATCCCTTTAGCAGCGTGACATGTTCCCAGAATATACAGGACATGTACACACACACATATAGATTCACAGGAATTATATCTGTCATTCAGTGTATGTTTGAAGGAATTTTGAAAGTGTAAAACTCATCGCAGGATTTAAGAAAAATTTCCTTTTAGAACAAGCACCTAAGTAATATCATCAAAGAGAACTTGGGAATGTAAGTAGACCAAGTAGCAAAGCCCAAAAAATTTTTTACATATATATTAACAAAAATGTTACAAACTATTTATAAATTGTTCTGCAACTTACTTTTTTGGCCTAACGATATATTGTGGACAGTTTCCCCAGTCATGTCTTACGAAGCTAACCTCTTTGATATTTCACCCTATGGATTGCAATATAAACCTTTTAAGCAATTCGCCTTTGAACAGTTGAGTTTTCCCAATCTTTTATTTTTTCCAACAGGAGTGCAGTGAGCATCCTTGGCCATTTATCTTTCTGTGGGATAAATTCCTGGCTCAGAAAGTTTGCACATTTTAACTTTTGTCAGAAACTGAACAGGGCAGGGCTTTCCAGGGCGCAAGTCAGAAGCAGCGTGGACCGAGGGAAATTCCAGCTCCATCACTTCCTCAGTGTGTGACACAGTGACCTCCTTTTTCTATAAAACAGAACTAATGCTGAACTCAGAGTTACTGTAAGGAAGAGTGGAATATCTTATATAGATTACCAGCCCAGTGCTCAGACACATACATAGCCATCATTACCATTACTATTATCATTGTGTATGCTGCTACTAATTCTACTCCTGCCTTTCAAGGCCCAGGTCCCACTTCAAGCTCTAACTCCTCTAAAAAGCCTTTCACATGATTTCAGTCTATAGGGCCCTCTCCTTCCAAGCTATTATGGACCTGGTTGTCTCTCTCACTCATCTGGCATCTGGTATGTTCTGTCATATTTTTTTCTCTCCGTGAACATCTTGTCAACCCAGCTAGACTGTTTCAGAAGGTGAAGGACCATTGCTTATGCCACCTTTGTCATCATTACCTACCACACTCCCTCGTTCAGCCAACAAAAATCACTGTCCCCAAGCCCGTGGTCGTCAGAATTGCCTGAATGTCTGGTTTTCTGCCTCCCCTCAGATGTCCTGCGGTTTGACAACACCTACAGCTTCATTCACGCCAAGAAGGTCAGTTTCACTGTGGAGGTCCTGCTTCCAGACAAAGCCTCAGAAGAGAAGATGAAACAGCTGGGGGCAGTCACCCCAAAATAACGCCTCCTCTGACAGCAGGCCTGGCTCCCTCAGTGTCTCCCTGTCAGTTTCTATTCCTTGTAGCCGTCATTTTTCCAGCACCCTGATGCCCCGAGAAACTGGGCTAGAAGAAGGACCTCGGGCTGGATCTGGGAGTTTTCGTTTCCGAATTAGGAAGAGGGAGAGTAGAGGAGTAGGTCTCCTTGCCTCTCAAATTACTAAGGAGTACCCAGGGGCTGGGCACCGTGATAGGATCCGTCTGTCCAGTAAGCTGTGCCAACTTCACCTACCAGTGACAGCTGAGACAGAAAGGGGGCGCCGGGAGGTGGCAGCAGGGAAGACATTAGGAAAAGGGGGAGAGATTGAAACGTAACACTTGAGGGAAGCCAGCAGCAGGCGAGGAACTTGCTCCCAAAGGAACATGTAAATCTAGATCATACTGAGGAGTAGCAAGGTAGCTGGTTTCTAGAGTAATGGTGGGAGTCAGAGGCTCTTGTAAATTTTCTGTCACCGGGGCTGGGATCTTTTGGCTTTTCCCAGGTTTCAGGAGGTGAGCCAGAGTCAGCATAGATCTTCCCACTCAGGGGTAGCCAGGCAAGCCTCTCCCTCACCTTGAGAACTTCAGCAACTCCGGGGGCCCTCCCACTGGCTGCCTCTTTAATTACTAACGATTGACGTGACTCAGAGGTTCCTGGGACAGTGAGCTTTGGTACTCAGCCACTGTCCTCCAGTGCAAACAAAGCACAGGAAAATTACCTCCAGGGTCCCAGCTCCGCGGAGGGCCAGGAGGGCTGGGTGTGTGTGTGAGTCCCGAGGCTTCCACTCGCCTTTTTAGTGCCACCAGCCCCACATCAAGTAACTCCATTTGAGCACCCCCACAAAATGACAAGTGGGATCAAGGTAGTATATCTCAGTGAGGGCATTTCCCAGTCTGAGTCTCCCGCGGTGTCCGCCAACCTGCTTCCTGACTGACTTGAGCAAGGCCTTGGCAGTCCTGTCTCTGGGAGGCGGAGGGTGGGTCTAGCGGGTTCCTGGTGCCTGTTGGGGACGCTGCCCGGGCAGGGGACCGCAGACTGGGCCTCATCTGGCAGACCCAGGGGCTGAGAGCAGCACAAATAGCTCCAAGCCCCTCTGTCCACGGTAACAAGCTGGGATGGCCGCGGACGCTCAGCGACCAGGGGCTGGAGGGCACCAACTCTGCAGCAACCACAGCACTTAACCCCAATTCCTCGTCCTGCAAACGAACACCAGGTCCTGGGCTGCACAGACCGCGGGAAGGCGCCCCGCCTGGGCCCTCGCAGGAAGTCCTGTCCCTCAGAAACCCAGGCCCTGGCCCCGCCTGGGAAGCTGGTCTGGCGAAGCTGAGGGAGCAAGAGTAGGGGCAGGGCCTGCGCGGACAGGACGGGGCCCGAGGCTGCACGGGCCCCAGCCAGACCCCCAGGAGGACATCCCGACCTCGGTTTACAACGCTCTTTTAGGAAAATTAACCAATGAATAAAGCAACATTCAGTGCACAGGAAGTCAATGCCCACCGCTTCGCCCCTCGCTGCCCCTCACTCAGCCCCAAATTTCGGCCTCAGGAGCCTAGTAGTAGCTACCCTCGGATAGCCGGGGCGCATGCGCAGAAGCCACCCGCTACTCGCCTCTTGCGTGCACTTTCCTTTGGGGCCTAACTGCCAGCTTGCCTCCTGATCGCCATCTTTACTGAGGGCACTAAGAGTGCTCGCGGCCGCCGTCGCTGTCAGGGCGGAGGCCCCGCCCCCTCGGGCTTCTCTGCGCCCCGGATGGTCTTGCGCGCCGACAAGTGCGGGTCTGGCGGGCGCGCGCTGCGCCGGCAGTGGGCCCTGACTGGGAGGGAGGCAGAGGAGCGACAATCACGTGGTATTAGGGACCGTCTCCTAATTCCGCGCCAGCACTGCTGGTGTTTCGGGGGCTGGGGATCGCTTTGCGCCCTGAGCCCAGATTCCTGCGAAGTCCCCCCTGACCGGGCTGCCCTACACGACCCTACAGTGACAGAGACGCCCAGGCCCTCAATAGGGAGTCAGGGGTCTTCATTTTCCCCATCTTTATGTGCCAATAATGAAAGCTAATTCTTTAATGAGCAACTACTGGGGACCCACGCAACACCCCTGTGCTTACCGCCTTGGGTTGTTGCAAAGATTCAAGGAAATAATACGTGCAATGCCCTTAGGAGAGAGCCTGGTACAAGTGAGCGCTCAGTAAATATTGGCTACTCTCAGTTTTTACAGGTGGCTAGCAGCTAATAGGCGGCAGAACTGGGATTTGAACCCAGGACCGCCTGTCTTTAATGGCTGTGCCTTTGCTCGCTGATAGCCCCAAAAGATTCACAGAGCTTTCGTGAAGTGCGCTCATTGCTCACATGGGTAACCTGAGGTCCCCCCATTGTGTTCTCATTTTCCTTAAGTCTTGTACTCCAACCATTCATTCATTCAATGTCCTGCCCCCAAGAGGATCGGTCAGTGGGCACACGATCCAGTTACACCCCAGTGCTTGATAGATGAACATGGCACCTGCCAAGAAGGGCCTCTAGAGTCCGAGCATCCACCTCTCGGGGGTGCCGACCGTTCACTCCCCCAGCCTCATTTACTGAGCTCACCTAAGAGCACGGGGATCTGGAGCCACTCGGGCTGGGTTCAAATCCCGGCGTAACCGCTTAGGGGCTGTATGACCTGAAAGGGACCCATATTCTGTGCCTCTATTTCCTCATCTGTAAAATGGGGGTCCTAGGCTGGTGGGAGGGTTTAAGGAAGCAATCCATCTTAGAGTCTTTAGCTAACCTTGTCTGGCTGGTAGTAAACTCAAGAAATGATGACTGATGTAATTAATCCTCGCCATCGTCCTTGGAGTGAACGCGGTAGTGTTCTCCTTTTAACAAATGAACAAAGTGAGGCTCAGAGAAGTACCGACTCCTGCCTGAGGTCACACAGCTAGGAAGCGCAGCTAGGAAGTGTAGCATCCTGCATTTGAACCCCGGTCTCTTTGGCTCCGGAACTACAATCAGTCCTGGACGAGGGGATCGCGCTAAGAGCCCAACCCCAGAGAAAACGTGAAGAAAATTAATCTGTAAAACCGAAGCCTGGGGGGTGGGGGTGGGGGGCAAAAATAAACATCCGATTTCCTAACTTTTAGGAAAAAAACTGAAAACCAAAACCCGAAGCCTGGGAGAGGGGCTTCGGTGCGTGGGGGAATTTGCAGACGCTCCCTGCTTCTGGCGGGCACAGCACGACCTGTCCTTCTGTTAGGGACATTTAGCTGGTCCCGCCGCCGCCTACAGGAGCGCTAGTGGAAGCCGAGGTGGCTGTTGCGGCTGGACCGGCTGCAGAGGCTGGGGCCGAGGCGGAAGCGCCATGTCCGAGCCGTCCTCGCGGGGTGCCGAGCGCGACCTTTTCCGGGACACGTGGGTGCGGTACCTGGGTGAGCACATGACGACCCCCCCACCACTACCACCACGTGGCTAGGCAAGCAGGGGTCGCCAGACGCCGGTCAGGGAGAAAGTGGGAGGATCTTAATTCTCATTCTTCCTCGGTCTGAGACTGGGCTCAGAGAGGGCTAGGGACGTGCCCAAGGTCACACAGCTCTGGTCGGCCCAGCCCTGTCCTCGGGGTCTCTGCTGCTCCGTGTCCCGGGTGGAAGCTCGGACCTGGCTAGGAGGAACACAGTGCGCGCGCTGCCATCTCTGGCATGCCCCAGCACTGGCCGTGAAATCAAGGCTCTGGACCCCATCTCCGCTTCTCACTCACTGGCTCTGCCGGAGCCTCAGTTTCCTCCTGGGCAAAAAGGGATGAACGCAGGGTCTGTCTCATCTGGTTGTAGTTGTAAGGGTAGAATGGGATAAGGCACAGAAACGCCTGGCACATGGTGACTGCCCAGTCAGGGGGGCTGCCATTGGTCAGTCTCTCTTGCTGCCTGTTCCCCTGTTAGTGCACATGCTTCTAGAACCCAGGCTGGGAAGGCAAGTGAGTGATGATAACGGTGACTGTATTCAGCTCTCCCACAATGGCCCTAGAGTGGTGGGCATCATGGGTGCCATGTTATAGGCCAGGAAACTGAGGCTCAGAGAGGTGAAATCACTTGTCTAAGGTCACCCAGCTACTGCTTAGCAGGCTGGGATTAGAATCAGCTCACTTGTGGAATAATCCATGGGCTCGGGAATTAAACATCCTCTCCCCACCAGGCTATGCCAATGAGGTGGGGGAGGCCTTCCGCTCCCTGGTGCCAGCGGCTGTGGTGTGGTTGAGCTATGGTGTGGCCAGCTCCTACGTGCTGGCCGATGCCATTGACAAAGGCAAGAAGGCGGGAAAGGTGAGTGTTAGCCCTCAACCCCTCACCCCAGTCCACTCCCCCTTGATTCAGCCTTGCATGTGGTAAAGTCCCTTGTGGAACAGTCTGGTCCCCATAACATCTCCTGGTGCAGTCCATACCCCAGTTCTGTTTGTAGGATAGTGTACATTGGCCCCAGCCCTGCACGTGACATGGTTTATACCCCAGTCCACCCCCAGCCCTAAATGTGGTACAATGCACAACCCAACACCAGTGTGGTTCTGACCCTGCCCCGCCCTGGCCATTTCCCTCCACCTGGTCCAGCCTCATGCCTCCTGTCCACAGGGTTTCCCACCTCTGCCCCTGCTGGATTAAGTGTCTCTTGTGCCCACCAGGTGCCAAGCCCTGAAGCAGGCCGCAGCACCAGGGTGACCGTGGCCGTGGTGGACACCTTTGTGTGGCAGGCTCTGGCCTCTGTGGCCATCCCAGGCTTCACCATCAACCGCGTGTGTGCTACCTCTCTCTACGTCCTGGGCACTGCCACCCGCTGGCCTCTGGCTGTCCGGAAGTGGACCACCACTGCTCTGGGGCTGCTGGTCATCCCCATCATCATCCACCCCATTGACAGGTGGGTGCCCCTCCCGGCCTCAAGATCATCCACTCTACAGTTGGAGATAAGCTCTGAGAGGTGTGGGTGTGCCCACTTTGCACAGAACAATAGCAGCAGAGGCGGGGCTGGCACTCAGGGCTCCTAAGGTAGAAAGGACAGTCTATGCCCTTGTTGTATGATCTGTATGATCAGTAAAGGTAAGGGGGTGCCTGGAGGGTATGGGACACAGGACAAGTAAATCCCCAGAAAGAAAATCTAGTGTTACAAAACAACCAGAGTCATTCAGGATACAGGTGCAAGCTGGAGGGGATGGGTGTGGGGAGGTTTTAGTGATAGAAACTCAACTGAAACTGGGTTAAGTAAAATAGGAATTAATTGTTTCATGAAACTGAGAAGTCCAGATGATACTGCTTTCAGGCATGGCAGGATCTAGGCACCTAAATGATGTCATTAGGGGTCTGGGTCTCCCCATCCTGCTGCCTTTCTCCCCACCCTGCCCTGTGTTGGCTTCACTCACTTTTCCCTTGTGGGAGTAGAGATGGCCCCAGCAGCTCCCAGCTTCCATCCCACCAGTTTAGCAAGCCCCATAGGATACATCTTAATGACAGCAAAAATCCCAAGGAAGGCTGTCATTGGTCCATCTTGGACTGGGTGCCCACCCCCGAACTGGTTTCCCTTTTCTGATTAGCCAGGCTTGGGTCATGTGCCTGCTCTTAGAACCAGAGATAGGGTCAACTCAACCAGACCAACAACAGAGTGGGAGGAGTCTTCCAAGGGAACATAGCTGACCCTGAGGCCCTGAGTGAGTCTTTTACCCTCTCTGTGCCTCAGTTTCCCCAACCGAATAAAGAAGAGGATGATGGCTGCCACCTGGATGGCACTGTGTCCTGCATCCAGGAGTCCCTTCCCTAGCCCTGACCTCTTGCCTCCCATTGCCCCATTAGCACCCCTTGGTCACCTGCTCATCACCCTTCACTGCCCCACAGGTCAGTGGACTTCCTCCTGGACTCCAGCCTGCGCAAGCTCTACCCCTCAGTGGAGAAGCCCAGCTCCTCCTGACCCCACCCTAGTACCTGTCCTGTGCGTTGGCCCACTCCCTGCTCTGTTCCAACCTCCTCCTCCTGCTGGGGGATGCGGATGCCAGGCTCCCTGGGGTCCGAGGCTGTGGCATCTGAGTGGGTTTGAGCTGGACAGCAACTGAGAGACAAAGGCCTCAAGGAGCGGCAGCCACAATGCATCACAGTCAAGGGTGGGACCTGCACCCTGTCTGCTTCCACAGAATCCATGATCCTGAGTGGGAGTGGACTGCAGGTGGGCCCCGCCCTGTCTTTTCTCAGGGAAGTAACATCCTCTCATGGAGGATAAGGAGACTGAGGACCCGAGAGGGCAAGGAACATGACCAAGATCACTTGGCAAGCTGGGGACCCAGGACCCCCAGAAGCTCGGCCGTGTCACCCCATGGCAGCGCGGCTGGACAGAGGAGCAGCAGGCACTATCCTGAGGACTGATTCTCCCGCCAGCCCGTCCCTGGGGCAGGGGCTGCTGGGGCCTGGCTGGAAGGCAGGAGAGCCCCCAGCCCAATAAATCCTCAAGAAATTGAGTTTTCTTTTCTTTTCTGTTGGGGAGGAACAGGGAGGTAGGGGGGAGCAGGGCTGGAGACCCTCAGAGGTGGAGGCTGACTTCTCCAGCCATACCACTCATAGCAGCTAGTGCTGGGCCTGTCTGCTACCTTCACACCCACCAAAGCCCCCTGCAGATGCCTGGGATTCCACCTCGCGGCTGCCAGCCTCCTTTGGGGTAGGCCTTGCCCTCTTTCTGTAAGCCTCCTAAAGCACCCACACTTCTGGGAGGAGAGCCTGTTGGGCAGTGACCCAAGGGCTGTCTCCCACCCTATTTCCCTGCCTCCCCCCCCTTAAGGGCGTGACCGGTTCTCCTGGTGGCTTCCCCTGAGCTGCTGGGCCTGGGAGCACTGAAGGAGACCATTCCTCCTTGATTCTGGGCAAGCCTCTTTCTTTGGCAGCCAACAGCCCGGAGGGTGGAGGCGGGAAGGCGTGGCGGGTGTGAAGCGCAGGGCAAAAGTGGACCTGGGGCCCCAGCTCTCAGCCCTGCCCCAAGCCGCAACTCAGTTCCGGCCGAGATCCCGGCCCCGCCCCTCGCAGCCCAGGGGCCGCCTAACCCCGCCCCTTGAGACCGCCCGCCTCCGGACCCGGTGTGTAGCGGCCGCGGGAGGAGCAGGGCTGGTAGTGAGACAGAATGGAGGCGCTGGGGTTGTGGCTCCTGCTCTGGGGGTGTCTGCAGCTGCAGGATGAGTCTGATGGCCTGCCCCGGAGCTGGGGGTTCCTGAGGGGAGAGGTGGGCCTTTCTCTGCCGCCCTTCTGATCCCTCACTGGCAGGGACCCTTGCCCAAGCCCCCCATGACCTCTGCCCGGTCTCCTGCCGCTCCTTTCGGCTCCCTTAAATGCTCTGAGCCCCCCTCAACTCTCCAGCCCTCTCACGGCCCCCTCCCACACCCATCTCCAGCACCTTCCCATTTCCCCCCAGTGTCACAGCGAGGCCTGGCCACACCCTCCCCTGCTTCCCTAGGACATCTGAGTTCTGCTACCAATTCCTTGCTCACTTGCTCTCCACCTTCCACCCTCCAGGCTCCCCCTAAAGCTGGGAGCTGCCCAGGCCAGAGTTGGGCTTCTGTGCTCTCAGAAACAGTCCAAACTCTTGGCCCTGCCCCAGCCTTGTCACCCTCCCCTTCACCTACCCTCCTGTGCCTCCAAGCACGGCCCCCCTTGAAAATCCTTTTCCTCTTGGCTAACACTGAGCATCTTGGACAGCCAGCCCCAGTGCCCCTCGGTTGTTGCCCCTCGGCTCTGCCCTGCTGTGGGCCCCCTCTGGCCTTGGCTGCCCCACTGGTGGCCCTGCCTTGTGAAGAAGCACTGGGGTGCACCTTTGCAGATGTCCGGTACATAGTAGGTGCTCCCATGAGGGGCTCACAGGCATTCTCAGGTCAGGCTGGTGGGGATAAGGTCTGTGGACAGCCTGTCTGCGTGGGGAGAGACCCCCTCACCTCCAACACACACCTTACCCCGCTCCCTGCTCCATTCTGGAGATGCAGTGGTTGAAGGGCGCGTGTTGGGGGAGGTTTCTGGGCAGCCTCTGCTGGCCATGTCCTCTCTGAGGCTGTTCTCTGGCTACGTCAGCCTAGGCCACACTGCCAGGGGACAGCCTCCTGCAGGAATGTAATCAGAGGGACATTCTCCTGGCAGTGAGGGGGAGCCCCAGCTTGATGCCCGCCACCTGTGTCTTGGCACCTGCATGCCCTCCTTGGCATGCCTGGCTGTGTGGTTTTTATTGCCCCATTCAGAGCTTGTGGCTTCGTCCGGCTGGTGAGGCTCATGGGGACAAGGCTGCCAGGAGCCTGGCGGTACCTGGGAGATTCTGGGGGCGTGGGGCAGTGCTGAGGTGTCTGGGCTGGAGAAGGGGGTACGCTCAGATCATACTGACTTGCTCTGTTGCCTTGGGCAAGTCACAGCCTCTCTGAGCCTCAGTTTCTCTAAAAGCAGCAGAGGCCTGGACTGCTACAGAATGGGTAGGCGAGGGTATGGTGCAGACTTCTGTTTATCATCTGTGTATTTACACGTGCCCTCGACTTGTGTTTGTTCCTTGAATCCTCAGCAGCCCCATGAGGAGGTAGAACTGTCACCCCCGTTTTCCAGATAAGGAAACTGAGGTTCACGGAAGGGAAGGCTGCACTGTCTACCACCAGGTGCAGTTTAGCACATCATTCTTCAAAAGCAAAACAGGCTTTTGAGCAAGGCAGGGACCTTGAACAAGACCGAGACAGGAAACCAAGGCCCAGAGAGGGCGAGCGACAGTGAGGTGGGGGCCAAGTTGGGGTTGTACTGCCTTGGCTTCCTGCTCCTTCTTAAGGAGCTGGTGTCGCCCCAGATCTCGGGGAAGATGGTGGAATTCTTGGCCGACCTGGTCAATGTACCCCCACCTAGACGCTCTGAGCAGCCCCCATTGCTGCTTTCCGCCGTTGAGTCAGTTGTACAGCCAAGTGGTGAGCACTGCCTTGGGCCCTGCCACCTGGAGGTCCCGCAGGAGGAGGAAGGGTGGGCTGCCCCCTCCAGCAAGCAGGGCAGCAGGCCCTGGCCCCATGAACCCCCTGGTGTGAGCCTGAGGCAGAGCTGGGTGTCCTCACCTGCGAGTCAGAATTTGGAATCGCTGGATTCTCCTGGCCTCTTGCCTGCCTGGGCTGCCTCAGGGACTTGTCATGGGCCTTCAGTGTGTGTTTTCTGGGTCCCTTGCATGCCAGACTCACGTTAACCCCTCCTGTGTCCCTGCCAGCTGGGAAGCCCCCACCTTGCCCCCTGCCTTCTTGGTGACTGGCTCCCTGGCTGGGGTTGGACGTCTGGACTTCAGCCAGACTTTGGCCTGGGCGTCCCTTTCTACAGATGGGGGACATGGGCTGAACAGATACAGTGACTCAAGGGGAAGGGCCCCTGGCTCAGGGGCTCCTGTGCCTCCAGTTCTGAGCTGGACCACCTCTGGGGAGAGCAGGAAGAGAGGCAGGGCAAGGTGGCAGGCAGGAAGGGCACTGGGCTTCTGGCGACCTGGCTTTGCCTGCTTCCCCTCTTGCTGTGTGGCCTAAGGCAAGCCCTTCAATGTCTTGGCCTTGTGTCCTCCCCATCTGGTTTTCTTTCCAGCCCAGGCTGGGGCCGTGCTGGAGGCTCCAGACCCCACCAGCACCAGCACTGTTTTCCTGGGCTCTGAGCTCCCTGTGAAATTTTCCATCAGCCCTCCAGCTGTATGTGGACGAGTGTGTAACCAGCCCCAGCCGGGATCTGGAAGTAGCCTCTGAGCGCTACAGCCTCATCAGGCATCATGGGGCCAAGGGAACGGGGACAGGGTAGGATGGTGCTATTCGATGGGTAGTGTCTCTGGCAAGGCTGGGACAGGAGCTGAGAGCCTTTCCAGGACTAGAAGGGAAAGATGCCCAGATGGTGCCCTCTGGGAGTTGTTGTTAGGTGGTCCTCTGTAGGTCAGGGGAGCAAGAACCCTTTACGGGTCCCTTCATCTCGGGAGCCTCTGATGACCTGGTCTAATTTTCCCAATAATCCTATGCTGTAGACACAATCAGTTCCATTTTGTAGATGAAGAAACTGAGGCTTGAGGTCACATAGGCACACATTGAACCCAGTACTCCTGTCCTCTCTCCCACATCAACAGCACGGTCTGGGAGGCGGGAGCCGTCACCCAGACCCTTCCCTGTCCCTGCTGGGGTACTTCCTGTCTCTCTGGGCCCTGACCAGCTCTGTCTCTTGTACCAGGAAGCCTCTGCAGTTCGCTGACCCTGATGACAGGGACTCTGCTCAGGGGGGTGTTGACGGCCACCCTGGGCATGGGCTTCTGCATCTTCACCCACTGCTGTTGGCTCAGGCCCAGAGCCTTGCAGCACGTCTAGCTGCAGGCCCGGGCAGCAGGGTCTAAGGAGCGCCCAACGCCTACCAGAGTTTCCTGATAAAGAGATGTTCGGCATCAACTTTAGCGCTCATGATTTTCCTGAGGCGGGGCTGGGGCTACGAGGCCTCCAGAACAGGGGCTGGTGATGGACCTCCTGTGAGGTGACGGCCCTGGGCCTGAGCAGGGCCTGTGCCTGCCCCGTGTGGACTTGGGCAGGAGTGTGGGGTGGCGGGCAAACCTGTGGCCTGCCTGGGGGCGCTGGGCTCAGGGGGCCTCTCCTTCTGTTCCTTTAATGTTTGCTCAGGGGCCCAGCAGCCCCCTAGCGCAGAGTCTGGGCCTCTTCTGGATGCCTGAGACCTGGGCGCATCTGGAGGGTTACGTTGCACATCCGCTTGCTGTGGGCCAATGAATGCTGTGCGAGAGCCGCTCATAGGGGCTAGAACCAATTTGTTAACTTTTCAGGAATTTTGTGAACTGGTGGTTAAACACAGCCATGATTAAAAATTAAACAATATAGGGGCCAGCCTGGTGGCATAGTGGTTAAGTTCGCGTATTCCACTTTGGCGGCCCGGGGTTTGCAGGTTCAAATCCCAGGCACAGACTGGGTGCACCACTTATCAAGCCATGCTGTGGCGGCATCCCACATACAACATTGAGGAAGATGGGCACAGATGTTAGCTCAGGGCCAATCTTCCTCAGCAAAAAAATTTAAAAAAAAATAATTAATTAAATGATATAAATCAGATTTAAATACATTATATTGAAAATAAAGGTAGTGAAAAATTCTCATCACAAGAAAAAAAATTTGTAACTGTATAGCGACAGATATTAACTAGACTTATGTGATTATTTTGCAATACATACAAATATTGAATCAATTCATGTTGTATACCTGAAACTAATATAATGTTATATGTCAATTATATCTCAATGAAAAACAAACAGGCAAAAAAACCAGGTAGTAAATACTGGAAGCTTACTGCTTCCTAATTATTTTGCTAGACTTTACTATTATCTATGCTGCCAAGGTTATTTACATCTCTCATATCTGTTTGGTGGATATACCCTATTATAGTGTGTTACCATTGCACATTGCTTCTCAACTCTGTGTTCAGTGACTTCACTTGGGT